TGATTAATTATCTAATGAGTGGAGCATACCTTTAAACATCCATGTTGTAGTCCGCTGTATAGAAAACTGTAGTTTCCATAGTTTCCCCACAGCAGCAGACGCACATTCATGACGTCCTCTGGCGCATCATAAACACGTCGGATAGTGAAAGTGCAGTCGATTCTCTAAAGTACCGCGGTCTCTTCTCCTAAGTCCTTTTGAATTCTCCTATCCACTATCCCTTAACTCCGTGACGTTTCACTCAGAGGTCAAGGAATAGGAGATAGGGTTAGAATTTAGGAGCTGATTTTTGGATTATCGGAACGCAACCTTAGTCTCTTGAGTTACCATGTCCATTGGGGGAGATTACTTCCTGGTTCAGCAAAGGGCGTGGCCGAGCGCTTAGGACTGATAAATACCGCAAGGAGCCAATTGGGACAGATTGGGACAAACCACCTGCTTCCATGTCAAAGGGGGGATTTGGGTTGTGTCAGTGTTCTTTGTGTCTTCTGTTACTATTAATTATCCTTTGTTTCAACTTGGTTTGGCCAAGCCACTATATAGGTTCCTTGGTTTTTCATTGTAGCAGGTCGGAGAGCAGGACTGGGCGGTGGCAACACGGGACTATGACTGGACGAGAGATGGCAGAGAGAAGTGACGAGGCAGGAAGCGAGTTAGGAGACATGGACGTAGGAGGCGGGAGTTGTGAAAATGGGATATAGTGAGGAGAAAGAAACGTAAAAAGGGAGGAAATACTAATTCGGATGAGAGCAATAGTGAGGAAGAAATAGTAGTCGGAAATAGGCAACAGGAGTTCATGGTGGTTGTGAAACTTGCGCAAGAGGGAGCTTCGTTCGGCATGTGGAACCCTATACGCTTAACTAAATCCATCAGTAAAGAAATTGGGGAGGTAATGAGTGCTAAAGTATTGAGGAATGGATCAATGTTAATCAAATGTAGGGATAGAGAGCAACAGGGGAGAGCAATAAAGATGAGTACCGTGGAGGGTAAGAAAGTGGAATGTTCAACTTTCAGTGGTAAAAAGCTAGTCAGGGGAGTTGTGACAGGAATCCCCGTCAGAATATCAGCTGATGATGTGAAAGGGAATATAACAAATGCAAAAATAAGTGATGTCAAACGCATGAAAGGGATTAAAGAAGATAGTCTTTCGGTTCTGATCACCTTTGATGAAAAAAGGCTTCCGGAAAAGATACTTATTGGATATATATGTTATGATGTGAGACCGTCTGTTCCACCACCACTAAGATGTTTTAAATGTCAGAGATTTGGACATGTGGCGGCAGTGTGCAAGGGAAAACAAATGTGTGGCAGATGTGGTGGAGATCATGAATACGGAAAATGTGAAGAAGGGGCAAAGCTGAAATGTTGCAATTGCGGAGGGGAGCATAGCTCAGCGTACCGTGGATGTGAGGTTAGAAAAAGGTTAGAGGCAAGAAAGCAGAAGAGGTGCAGCGAGTCAGGGTGACGCAGGGAGTTAGCTATGCAGAGGCAGCAAGGACAGTTTCAGGAGGAACGCAGGTTAAAATGGGAAACAACAATAAGAAAAGTACCTTGATGTGAAAGGGATGCACTGGGAAAATGTGAAAGATATCCTAAATGATGACGTCCAACAACCTCAGACATGGACTGGATCATCCTGATGGTGTTAATTGTACTGCAGTGGAATGCTAGAAGTTTAATTGCAAATGGACAAGAGTTCAAAAAATATATTGACAACCTGGGAGAGAAACCTAATGTTCTTTGTATTCAGGAAACATGGCTGAAACCACAACTGGATTTTATTGTGAAGGGACTGCAGTTAGACGAGATAGGGACTATGGCAGAGGGAGAGGAGTTGCAACATTCAAAGTGGTATAAGTTACAAAGTGATGCATGTAAGTACAGATCATGAAGCAATAGTTATAAGGGTATGGAATGATAGAGGACCTATAGTAAATTATTATAATCCATGTGGGAAATTAGATCAAAGTATATTAGAGTACATGGAATGTGGTAAAGCATACTACAGTGGGCAGCGATCATTATCCGGTAATGACTAAAGTTGGGACCAACATAAGGTTTGAAAAGGAAAAGAAAATTCCTAGATGGAAATTGGGAAAGGCTAATTGGGATGCCTTCCAAGTTGTAAGTACGAATTACGGTGGCCGGCAGGTGCAAACGCTAAACAACGGCCAAAAACACACACATAAGCAGGAAACACCTGCAAATAATGAAATGAAAAACCAACAAACCCTGAAAACAAATACAACAGAAAAACGCTGCATTTACAGAAATGATATGCAAAGTCAAAAGCACATACAACCGAAAAACACAATACAAAAAAAAAAGACATTACAAAAAACAAACATTCCGGAAGTGCTCCAGGCCTCTAGGGGGCACGCTACGTTGAACAGATTGATGTATGACCAGACATAGAGAGAACGAACAAGAGGAAAGAAAGTTCATTTAAGATATAAGAAGGTACATTTTGTTTTTATACATAGAGCATCATATTTACGTAGCTAGCGTTAGCGTGTTTGATAAAAGAGCTTGCAAGAGCCATTGAGCACCTAAATGTAACTCTTGACATAATATAGATATAGTATAGAACCGGGACGCCCCTCCCTACACGCAGATCACACAGACTGGGTGGGGTCTCACGCCCTCACCTCGTGGAGGGGGCCTCAACTGAGCCGCAAATGCGATGCGGTGATAAAAAGGAAATAAAATAAAATGTAAATGTTGAATTAAAATATTAAAACAGCAACACAACATTATTCCCACATTAAAAGACAGTCTGAAGAGGTGTGTTTTGAAGGTGGGGGGTCGGTGCAGTCTCTGATGTTTAATGGGAGTGAGTTCCAGAGGGAGGGGGCAGCGATGGAGAAAGCTCTGTCCCCCCAGGTTCGGTGCTTGGTTTGTGTGGGGATAGACAGGAGGTTGGCTTCTGATGAGTTAATTGAAAGACCGTTCTTTAATACTATTATAATATTTAGGTAGCCAAAAAATATCCACTCTTTTTGACTTAACCTAGCTGTCCTACATTTTATTTCTCCACAGATGTACTGTCCATTCTGTGGTTCCAGCGTGACATCTTCGCATGGCTTCTGTGGTGTCTGTGGCAGAGACATCACATTTCTAAAAGATGTGGCTAACAAAGTCCCTGAGGAGATGCCCACCACTAGTGCGCATCTAAGTGCATAGCCTAGCACCAGTGCAGGTAAATAGGTTGTTCGTTTTAATACCAAACAATAGGTATTTATAGAAAACTTGGTTTAAAAGTTCGAATTCTGTTATTATACAAATACATCTCTAAACTATGTGGCTTACCTACTAGATGTTCCTCAGAAGGGATTGAGGATGAGACTCCTATTGAACATAATGAAGAGTAATGAATGTTTTATTCCTGTGTTTTTTTGTAGCAGGAAGCTCAGCTGTAGAGTCCTTTCAGAAATATAGGGAAATCAAAAAGAGGGAGAGAAAGACCTTTTTTACAAAGGGACGGCATAACTCCAAAAATGAAAAAAAACAGAAATTGGTTAAGGTATGCAACGTTTTCTATTATGAATACATCTGTCATTCAAATCTGCTCACCACATTCTCATATAATGTCCGAAAAAATTTTTTATTCATTTGCATGTTATTGTCTTTTTGCAGATTTCTGTTGGAGTAATGAGGAGGATGGATGGCTGCCTTAAACCCGTGAGAGGGAGGTCACTTCCCCTTAATGTTGAACCTCAATGGGCATCTGAAGAACTGTTGGCTGCTGCGATATAAAAGCAGAAAGCCTTTAACCAGGACTTGGAAGATGGTGCCCATGTCTTGTTGTACCCTGATGCGAGGGTGATAACAAATATCCCCGGAACGGACACCCCTTTCACAGTACAGATGTACAAAGAGGCCATTGGAAAGCCCTACCAACGAATTACGTTGTACATCTGTACTCTTGAAGCCGTTGAAAACAGTTGTAAGTGCTTCTGACATATATTCCCCCTTGTTTAAAGCACTAAACTGTATCATAGTTCAAATGTAAACATAACAGTTGTTCTGTCTATATTTCTTAACACAATTCATTCCACCCATCATTCCTTTCTCTTCGTGGTTGAACTTATGACGTCAAATGGTCTTTTATGAATAGTGGCAGAAGAAATGGAATTTAAGTATCAACAAGCTTCCAAACGTTCCTTCTGTTCAAACTAAATATAAATTCCCTCTTAATGATTGTAATTCTAAATTAACCTTTTTTCTCACAACAATGTTGGTTTGTTGTGCCCCAATGTAAATCCTAATGTGAGAGTGAAAAGGACGGTCAACAATATAATGTACATTTCACAAACATTTTGTGTTTCGATTGAATCCTTTCTGATTGATGTCAATCCAATAATTCCGGATTTAAACCAACATTTGATGATAGGTACAGACGTAGGGGAACAATTATTTTTATAGTATTAATCATGACACTTTTATTTTCTTAGGTTACACTGGAACAACCTCTTCAAGTGACGAGGACAGTGTGGTTGTTGTAAAGTTGCCATCTGGAGACAGTCTTGCTGACACCGTGGTCAGTTTGGATCTATCGTGGCATTTATTCTTAATTAAGTTAATTTTATTTCAGTCAGTCATTTGTGTGTTGTATGCAGGTGTGGGACTTTCCAAATGAACAGAGCACTCCCAGAATGGACAACAGTTTGCCAGGGTCAAATACAACATTGTCAACATGTTATTTTGTGCCACAAGAAGCAGAATGTTTTAACAGTACAGTAGTTTGAATATATTTTTTGTTTACCTTTATCAGACCTCTCAGGCACCCTAAACCAGCATCTGATCGGGTAAGACTAATTAAAAATGTAATTATACCATGTAGGTTTGAATTTGTGAACATGAAATCAATAAATACCTTTGTGTGCTAATGACACTGTCATTAGATCAACTGCATCATTATTATTTATTGGGTAAAAATAGGATGGAGAACCAACCCCATTCCAGGAAGAGGTCCAGTCTGCACCTTCTATAGGTAAACGATGTTGACAGTTGCATCGGACACAGTTGTTTGGTGTGTATTTTAATTTTTCATTTGTTTGTTTGTATAGCCTCTAATCACAGTGGGTAACTTTGCCAGGAAGCAGAACAATTATACTTTTATACATTTACAAAGGACACCGACAACATCTTACATCTTAGTGAAGACGATACAAAAACCACAAATATTTTTCAAAGGTCAGATATTGTTTGTTGCATCCATTTCAAATGTTAAAAGGATTGTGCAGGAGTATGACAAAGTGCTGTTGTCAGTTTAGAACCCAATGTATTAAAAAAACAGGAAGAGGATCAACATCCTTTTGTAAATATGACTGTCATGCATATATTATGTATTTGAAAGTCATTATTCAACTGTCTTCTCACTGCAGCAACTACACAAATGTGTATGCTCCGATCATTATTGACAGCCAGTCTGAGCCAGAAGAGGAAACGGAGCAAACTGCAGAGGAAAGGTATCAATTGTTACTTTTACCACTTCATTTTTTTATTCTATACTGTAAATCTTATTACTAGCTTCATCATTTAATATTACAATACATCACTTTGTCTTTCCCAGCACAGAATACCTGACTGCGCCAGACGTTGTTGCAGAACTCTCTGCAAAAATTAAAAATACCTCTTGCAGCAGGTTTAATATTAACCGAGCCAATGTATGGGATGGAGCAATCCACGGCTTCAAACGGGCCTCATTCGATCCCTCTCATCAGATGCAGGTTAAGTTTACTGACGATGAGGGACAAACTGAGGATGGAGTGGACACTGGTGGTCCCAAGCGTGAGTTCCTGACCCTCCTGATGGAATGCCTGAGAATGAGAAGAATATTTGATGGTCCACAGGACAGGAGATTCCTCACGTTCGACAATGCAGGTAATGATGTTCGCAAATCTGTCTTATGTTCAATAATGTACTGTAAATATAGGAGCTGCTTATGGATTTTGCAGCTGGATTTACGTGACAATTAAATTATCTTATACTGTATATCTTTATGATAACGTGGCAACTGTTGGTTAACGTGATAATAATTTGACAAAAAATATCAACAGCTGCAAAAGATGACAAATACTTTCATGCTGGGAGGATGATTGCAACTTCTATAGTTCATGGTGGTCCAGGCCCCCGCTTCCTGTCAGAGACGCTCTACCAGCACCTCACTGGAATGAAAAACACCAACATTGAAGCCATCATTGAAGACATTACTGATGACACTATGAGAGCTTCCCTGCTTGAGGTAGGCTGGCATATTAGGGCAAACATTTGTTGTTTTACTATCACAGCCCAACATACAACATGAAGTTGTCTCCCTTAAAACCTGTGAAGAATTTGGTTTTTTTATTGTCCGGCCTTCGATAGTTTGTTATTGGGCTTTTATAGCCTCTTTTGGAACCATAACGAACAACCTTAGCTAGCTGTTATGGCAAACCATTAGAAATTATGCTGTATTTATTTATCATACCTAACTGTCATTACAAATATCATTAATGAAAACAAATGTACACTAGTAAGAACAAGTTTGTCATCTTAGAACAATATTAAAAATGTATTCCTCCTTTCATGACATGGATATAGTTATATACGCTTTAATATCTTGCCACTTTGATTAATGCAACTCCTCACATTAGTTATCATTCATAATTCTTGCTCCCCTCTGCAGCTGGTCCAAAATGATTGGGGTAATTAAGTGTAAAACACAATGTTGAAGAAGAAGAAGAAGAAGAAGAAGAATAACTTGGATTTATTTACCTTTCATGAAACCAAAGGACACTTACATTTATGATACTATTTAATGAGAGTAGTAAATCAGTCAGATTTAAACCGAACACCATAGGAGGGAAAGAAGATGTTACAATTATTGAGAATATATATTTTTAATTTGATAAATTACCTGTCTTCCTTCATATGCGAGTTTGACAGCATATTGATTTATGTTTATGGATTATGATTGTTTTCTACTCTAGATATCCAGCGCAGCTACATTGGAGGAACTACATGCATCAATCGACAGAAATTCCAGCTTGTTGCAGACTGCAGGTTGCTTGCAGTACCCTGATGGTGTGGATGACAAAAACGCAATCATAAAGGATTTCATGCAGTGGTACATCATTTACCGCAACCATTTTGCCATACAAAGGTAATGTTTCTGCACTATTTAACCTAAGTTCAATATATTTTAATTGTTATCGAGTCAAACACATCACCATTTAGATGTTAAAGCAAGGTTATAATTTATATTAGCACCATTCAGACACAAAGCAATTCCAAGTGCTTTACACTTTCAGAAAATACAAAAATTGCATTTAAAACATCATTAAAATTATTAAAAGCAGTGTATTGTATTGAAGCTCGGAACAAACATTTAAAGATAAGAAAAGCCTAAATCAAGCGTTCTATGACCAATTGTGATACCAAGGCAATTGAGGGTTTACAAGGGTAGAGTTGCATCTATCGATTCACTGGACAATCCTGCTATTAAAGTTATTCTGACTTTATTTAATATACGTTATTGGTCTTGGTGAAAAGTAAAATATGAAACAGAAATATGTAAAGATGATTGATTGATTTACTTTACTGCATGTAAAACCCAGAGGTCATTAAGAAATGAAGTAGATCTAAAATTGGTTCTAATACTTTTTTCAGATATTGTTACTAACCTGGCGATAGGTGATAGTAGATTGATGGGTCTTTGTGTCTAATGTTTCCTAGATTCAAAGACGGACTTGAAGCCTTGGATGTGATTCATGCTTTGGAGCAGCATGGACGTGTTTTCAGAGCTTTTATGTGCTCAAGTGTGGTAGAGCTGACTTCTGCCACATTGGAGGAAGTCTTTGAGGTTCAGCACAGCAGCGAAAAAGAAAGCTCAAGACGCCATGAGGAAACCAGGGTGTTGGGATTTTGGAGAGACTATCTCCTTGAAAAAGAAGGTTTATTTGAGTTCCAACATTGTTCACATCTTAAAATAATTAGCTATTAATGGCAGTTCTATCAATCTTGATATTTAAAAAAAAACAAAAAAACGTAATACTACTTTTTCTTCTCAGAAAAACGAACAGAACTCCTCCTCAGTGACATCCTGATGTTCTCAACAGGATTAAACACCCTGCCACCGTCTGGAATCCAGCCGAGACCCCAATTGGTTTTTCACCGGACATCTCGCTTTCCAATCGGCAGAACCTGCTCAAACACAATAGAAATACCAATGTCAAGCACCTACTGTATGAACAGTTTGAAAGCAACATGGACTTTGGAATCCAAAATTCGCCTGGTTTTGGACTTTATTGAAAACTGGGCTTACAATTTACAAATTAGCCATGTTCTTCATAGTTATATAGTTCGCAACACAAGACTCCCAGGTCAAGGGTTGCATTAGACCACTCGTTCTTTGAAGGTTCTCAAAGTGTTCCAGGAAGTGGTCGTCTCCACATGGACTGTTGGTCGAGTCCAGAACAAACTGGCCCAAGTCGTCTTGTGGGACTGGGAACCCACAGTCAGTTCCACCGTACCTGGATGTGCAATATGTTCAACAGTTATTATTCACATGTACACAATTGTTCTTGAAATGTTGTTTTGTTGTTGAACTTCTTTGAAAATTAAAAAAGTTACTGTCACTTAATAGTAGACATTATTTGAGTAATAACTGACTGACTGAGGTGACACAATCTTAATTTATAGTGAAAAATGTACTTTGGGGCAACTGATTTTTTCTTAGAATTTTAGGCAGTTACTAAAAATAAATCTGAACAAAATTGAGAAATATGTTTAATTGATAGAAACAAACCTGTGTGGCAGGTTGTACATGACATCTGGTTTCCCGGATGGACAACGAGACTGGTTTACAGGTCTGATAATATGCGTGTTCCACTTTTCCCTGCATTCGTCAAGGTCCCTCTGTAGCACACCCATGAAGACAAACCGCACTAGGCATGTGTGCGCATGACTGCCACTGAAGTGATGTTTTTCTCTCAGGTCATTCATGAGATCCATCCAAAATTGAGACCTGAAGAAACAGATTCAAATGAGAGCTGTTTTTTTTATACATTGATGATTTCCATGTAAAGGGATTCAAAATAAATATAACAAATAACAGTAAACCTGTGGTATCAAATAGTCATATTTATAAGAACTGTATTAATTAAATTAAAAGGAAATCAGCAACCACATTAGGCATACCATGTTTTGGCTGTGCCTGTGGTGCAGAGTTTAGTTGTAAAACAATTATTGTAGGAGATCGGAACTAATACACTGAAAATATAATTACATACATTTTTATAGATATACTATGTTCACTGTCAAGGATGTAAAAAAAAAAAGAAAGAAGCACCACACCTCTGTTTTCTGAAGTACGACCACCAGCTTTCAATTCTTTGATTTGCTGTTGAAGAGCCATACATGTGACTGGCAGCCCCAGCAAAATGGTCAGTGTGTCTTGATCTTAAAGCACACTGGATGGCTGCCATTGTGCCGTTTTCAGTGCCGCAGTCTGTACGCAGCCTCATAGGTATGACTCCATGCTCTGTGACACAACGTATGTAATTTTGAGCAATGACCCCAGGGTCATTGTTTGTTGCTCCACACTTCAACCACAATACTTTTCTGGAGTAGCCATCAATACATCCGCTGATGGCCAAACCATAGGGCAACCCCAACCACATCTGGCATGTTGATGGCTATGATAAGCTAAAGAGCTTATCATAGCCATCAACATGCCAGATGTGGTTGGGTCCTTCAGAGCTGTATGTTCTTCGTACAAATCTTCTATTACTGCGAAGTTGAACTCCAGAGGGATCAAGCTCTCTCATCAAGTTCATGACCTCATCCCTTTTTACAGTAAGGAAGTGCTTTTGCCGCAATGTCTGACACTTCGAGCGGTAACCGTAATGCTGGCCAGGTCCATTTAGCTCCTCTTGAATGGCAGCACGTACATTAGCCAGAGGGGAGTCGTTTTTTTTCCTTGATAATGAAAGACTTTTTAATTTACTCTTTAAAGTACGCAGACTCATTTTTACATTGTGGGTAGTTTCCAGAAAATCCAAAATGTCATCGTAGCTGAAGCCATCATGAAAGTATTTACGAATGAGGTCCTCTTCTGTGGGGCTGTCAGATGCTGATTGTAAAAAAAAAAGAAGAAAACATCATGTCATGGCTCACTGTCTCAAAATCTGATTCTAAATGTATAATGTTCTCTATAAAGATAGAACTAATACACAATTATGAATGTATAATATAAGCTGTTTTGTGTATTTAATCATGCATTGGTCTACAATTTAATGATGGCTTCTACATATTTCACATAAACAGACAATGAAAAAATGTGTCCTTCATGCTGATAATTGTAAGGGAAACTTCTGTGTAGCAATGCAGTGGGAGTCACCGACTCAGGAAAGAGACACGGGAAGAGCAGGAGCTTTGATGTCAAACACTGATGGTTTATTTGGAGTTTCGGCCGGAGAATTCACATCACAAGTCACAGCAGCCACGATCTGACTGCACGGTAGAGTTGCCACGTCAATTCTGAAGAACTCTACCCCAGACCCATGTATTTAGCTAGTTCCGAGAGCATCATCAACATGCTGCATAACAAGATAGAATCATAACACCTCTATCAGCTGACGCCAGCAGGCAGGAACATAGAATCATAACACCTCTATCAGCTGACGCCAACAGGCAGGAACAGGGAGACAGAACACTGAGAGCACAGCAGCCAAGGTTACGAGGTGCGTGTGCTTAGTCAGGACAGTTTGAACTGATAAACTGGGTCAAAGTTATGGGCCTTGGAAAATATTCCCCAACAATAACTAGTGTATGCATCTGCCAATTAGTATTCTAAACAGAGTAGTGTGTTGAATCCTTATTTCTTGCATTTGAAACAGATACAATACAAAAAAGTGAACTTACTGTTGTGTTCAACTTCTGCCAAAAACTGTACATTTTTGCCACAGGAGCCACAGAACACTTGAACTGTCCCCAGATGTTGGCCACAGAAAGGACAAAACATGGCAGCCTGAAAAGACATACATTGATGTAGTAAATCCATTTAATCAAGTCAATCAAAAACACAAAGTCTATATTGTGGTTAGCTAAATAAATAGAAAGATACATCATGTTTACCATTGAAACTGTGTTTTGTCTCTCTCTCCTTGAATGTCTTCTCTATATATTTGTTCTAATGCACACTACTATCCTGTCATTACTTTGTCCCTCTTCACATTTTGTCACTTCTCTCTCTCTCTCTCTTTCTCTCTCAATTCAATAGCTTTATTAGCATGACCATAGTTACAGGTAATTGCTAAAGCTCTGTATAGTTGCAACATCTATACACAAATACAAATGTGACCTGCCCCACCGGGGAGGGGGGGGGCTGCGATAATAAAAGGGGGTTAGGATACTTAACGCTAACCTGGGTTCCCCAATACGAGCCCTTAGGACAAGTCACGCAGATAAGAATAAAAGGATGGACAGGGACGCGGCCTCAAGTTCAAATGTTTACAAACGTTTATTATATAAATAATCAAGTAAAAGTTCAGTAATATAAAATGCAGATTAAAACTTATTCAGCTTTCTCAGTCGACACACATAAGTCCCACGATTGAAGGCTGGCTCTGACAAGGAGAGAATAACTATAATAATTACAATATCACACATAATGATAGTTAAAAAGTGATTCTTCTGGCCAACTGCTGAGGGTTTCCCCAAAACCACAATATCACCACGTGTAGCTGTATTCAATCAAACACTCACTACAAATCAACCATATCTGCATGCAAAAAGTGCCCAGCAAACCACATGCTCCACTCCACAGTATGGCCAGGATCGTCACTGAAGAAGTATAAGCACAGAGACAGTATTAGACCTTGTGGGACAGAGTGGGTCGTTACAATGAGGGTGCTGTCGCTTTAAAGATTAAATCACTAGTTTGTACACAATACAACAAACTAGTCAATAAGCAAAACATAGAAGGTAGGCAAAACGGTAGCAAACTAATCCTCTGATGCAAACGCATTCACTCAATTATCACCTCACTGGACACCTCTGCAACGGTGATTCTCTGCACAGTCTCTGCTGGGGCTGTCAAGAAGCCTCGTATAGGGGGAATACACGCCTATCAGCCAGACAACGATAACTGGAACAAGAACACTCG